CACTGACCCGTGCTAAATAGAGCAATGTGGTACAATTTTTCCAATACATTACGGAAACATGGGTAGACAACTTTGAAATTATCATAATTTTATTATGTTTTCGTATGTGCTACAATTTACAAATACTACACTGTAACGTAGGAAATAAGTCGAAGCCACATTTCCAGTTCGGTTTTCTAGAATTATGGAAAATGCTCAGCGATTTTTAATCTGAAAATTCCTCGGTGATTTTATATGAACTTTTGAAAATCGATAAACCGAATTAATTTCCAGTTATCTGGAAAAATCGGTGAGGAATTTCCAGTTATTTGGAGTATCACTCAGGATTTTTCAGGTGTTTATATAATTATATAATGTCGTGTTAAAATATTTCAGTGCTCCGCAGAAGCAGAGACTTGAAACATTAAATGGCATAAGAAAAAGCTTTTTCTGGGACTGCGTAAACTTGACAGACTTTTAGGTTAAGAATGTTCTGAAAGGTGCTTTGCTTATTTATTTATCGAAAACAGAAATAGAAATTGTAACAATTTAGAATTTGAGTAATGTGACAAAACATAAAAGATAAAAAAGTAGCAAACAACAAAATAAAAACTATTGTATCATTTGCAGGACTAAAAATAACCATTTTAATTTTATGTTTTTTTCATATACAATAAAAATGTGTGTGTTGAAATAAGAAGTGCGATGAGAAATAAAAAGAAGGTTCATCTTATCACCATCTCCATTAATCAATCAGTTACTTGGAAAATGCTATGAATAGAAAAATGACAAAATATGCAAGATGCAACTTGGCGGTTTGGGACTGTGGTTCTATTCATGGAGAAATAATGTACTCTCAAAAAAAAATAAAGTTAGCTTTTACGATACAGCTGAGCGGTACAAGATTGAAAATTCGAGTTAGATACAGTTACAAGTATCAGTCTTTGAAACAATCGTACTACTGTAAGGAATAAATCAAATAACCAGATAAAAAAGAAAATAATTGTATATACAAACAAAACGGCCTCCAGCTCATACTGAAAGAGAGAGAGCGATTCGCTGGTAATTGGTTAGTACATCTTCAATTTTTCGGGTTTTTTTATCATACAGTTGACGAACTAGTTTCTCGACCAGCTGCCAATAGTTTGGCTGCATGATGTGCCTAAAATTTAAAGTACGAAAGCCTATCAAGCCAAAATTTTCAACTTGTTTGTTCCTTGAACGCAAGTTCTTCGTTTCGCTTATTGTTTTCTCTCTGGGAAACGAATGAAGGAAGTTTATTACCTGTACAATTGAGAATATTCTTAATTCTTGCTTTTCTAAATTCAAACGTTGTAAATTTCCTCCATTTAATTTCAGTCTTCGTGTAAAATTTCGATGTTGATACGAATCTAACCATGAACGCATATGTGGTTCATAGTAACTCAACGCGATGGAATCTGAACGTCTATATGGAACACGAAATTGTTGTCTTTCAGAGGACTGTGC